AACTCTGGCCCGCCATGTGATAGCTGACAATAAGGCTGCACTAGCTGCAGTGCATCCCACCAGCCAATAAACACACCCATACCAGGGGCAAGATGGAGAGCCCAAAGCCCACAATGCACCTCAAGGGCAAAGACTACCACAAGCGAGGAAGTCCTCCAATGGGGTGTGAATCCCGAACGCGTCATGGAAGATAACCCTAACCACACAAGGGTAGTACTTACAGAGCACCTAGTGAAAGTGACCCTAGACGCATGTAGCTCCAGTACTCCTGGCTACACGCACACCTCCATTTATAACACCACTGCAAGAGCAAAAACACCGAAGAAAACAGGAGCATGGAGCCAGAGTGACAGCGACCACTTGGCATCACATCAGTAAAAACTGACTAGTGCCGGCCTTTACTTTACTTTAAATGTAAAGTGTTCATGGGGCCATTGTTTCCTTTGCCTTTGAGGGAGCCAGATCCTGGCTCATGGTCCCGTGTAGGCATACAAAGAACATGATGACACTCAAGTAGTATGGCACTTGATCAGTAAGATCAGTAAGCTTCAGGGAGCCCAACGGGGCTCCCCACAGAGATGCTAATACTGTAGTAATATCTCTCTAGAAATATGAAGACAGTTTCAAGTCAAGTTGGCAGATGGCTTTTGAGCATTATTTGAAGGCCGAGGCATGAAGGACCTCGGTTCAAACCCTTAAGTTTCTACACAATATTTCTCAAGTTACCACCCATGCCAATTACTGCCAATTTTGAAGGAAATATTTCTTACTGAAAACTCTGAAATCCATTTTGCAAGTAGCACAGTGAATGTATTTTCAGCAATTAAGACTTTTTCAGCATACACATATTTATATGAAGTCTTTAGAAATAATAAGAGGTATTTTAGTATAATTATCAAACACACCAAGCCAGGAAGCATTTCAGTGCAATTTTCTATAGGAATAAATAATAAAACAATAAACCAGAAGATGGTGTTTCCCAATAACATACAGTATGTTTAAAATATTCTCAGGTTGTTGAACAGCCAAAAGTGGTGCCTTTTTTTTGCTTGTTTTTATAATACTAAACAAGTGTATACATACTATTAATTGTTCATATGACATAACATCCCGACCCTATATGAATGAACACAAACCTTATGATGATGTGGAATAGAAAACCAATTGCAAAACACTTTTTTCTAAATATTTTGTGCATTACTGATTTTAGATAATAACAATCTGCCTGTTTTTCCAATGATAGCACACTAATTTTTGGTTCAAACATCCCAACAGTAATATGCCTACATTTTCTTTACAAGCTGTTGATAACAATCCACTGCATTACATGTCACATCTCATACAAACAGACTTCTTCCTGGTTTTCTTGTGACACAAGACAGTCTATAATTTTAGTGGTCAAAGCTTGCAACACAGTCAATACTACATGAAAAAGTCATAATTTGTGCTGTGAAACATCCATCACATCTCACATCAGACTGTGACTTATTAATCAAAAACTGTAAGTAAAATCTTAAGTCATTTCAGGTTTGTACCCAAGTCCTTATTAAGAACTGTCAGTGATTATAAACTTTAACATACAAGTAACTAAGCAGAATGTCTATGGAATTTTAATTACCAGTGCTGTATTTTAAATCAATATGAAATTGATCTCTCTTACATTAAAATGCTTCTAGGGTATAGTTAGAATAATGAAAATATTATACAAGTGTATTTTACATAAATAAAAATTAATTTTGGTAAAAGCCAATAAAAATACTTACTCTTTAATGAATACTGTAGTTTATCGAGCTTGGTACTTGCTCCACTGTCTCTCTTTGTAGAATTTTACAAGCGCACTATAAATATGGCAATGGTATCCAAATGTAACTCTCTTCCATACTATCATGTACAGTGATACCACTTTTACACGTTACCTATCAAATAAAAAACTTCAGGACATCAAATTATTATTTCCTATCTAACTCCAAATTTATGATTAATGATATCCAAGACAAAATATTTAAAGTTTATACAATGTCCAATCCAAGATAAATGTCTGGTTAATGAGATCTTAAATAACCGAGGTACGGGTATCTTGTGATCCCACAGCAAATTCATGCTGATGGATAGTTCACATTTACCATCGATAAACAAACACTACCCGACTCTGGATAACAATACAGTACGTGGTACAGCTGAGAAATGTTATAATCTGGCTTTGGGCTATCTGAAAGAACATTTTATGGATTGTTCATATACATATTATATTATATTATATTATATATGTGTGTGTGTGTGTGTGTGTGTGTGTGTGTGTGTGTGTGTGTGTGTGTGTGTGTGTGTGTGTGTGTGTGTGTGTATGTGTGTATGTGTGTGTGTCGTGGTGTCCCGTTATCAATTCCTGTTACTATTTTGTACGTAGTGATCATATCACCTCTTTTTCTTCTGTCTTCTAGTTTTGGCATATTTAATGCTTCTAACCTCTCCTCGTAGCTCTTGCCCTTCAGTTCTGGGAGCCACTTAGTAGCATGTCTTTGCACCTTTTCCAGTTTGTTGATGTGCTTCTTAAGATATGGGCACCACACAACAGCTGCATATTCTAGCTTTGGCCTAACAAAAGTCATGAACAATTTCTTTAGTATATCGCCATCCATGTATTTAAATGCAATTCTGAAGTTAGAAAGCATTGCATAGGCTCCTTGCACAATATTCTTAATGTGGTCCTCAGGTGATAGTTTTCTATCTAGAACCACTCCTAGATCTCTTTCTTTATCAGAATTCTTTAAAGATTTCTCACATAATATATAGGTTGTGTGGGGTCTATGTTCTCCTATTCCACATTCCATAACATGACATTTATTAACATTAAATTCCATTTGCCAAGTGGTGCTCATGTGCAGTGCCATGTATGTATGTATGTATGTATGTATGTATGTATGTATGTATGTATGTATGTATGTATGTATGTATGTATGTATGTATGTATGTATGTATGCATGTATGCATGCATGCATGTCTTACTTAATAGCCAGAACGCACTACTCGGCCTAGTTTGCAAGGGCCAATTTGCCTAATAGAAGAGTGATTTTTGCCATATTCAAAAAATTGCTTCCAAATTGTTTACTTGAAATAATATTATATTATATTAAGAATATGAATTATTGACTTAGTTATGTTAGTTTAGGTTAGGTTAAGACAGGTTAGGTTTGGTCATACTTCTACGATAGTTTGAACTCAAATTAGAAAAAAAATTAAATAATATATAATGTAACTAAATGCTTTATCATTTCATAAGTTTTTTTTTTTCAGAAAAATATATAACCTCAGAAAAACCCGGCTTATTATGCAAATCGGGCCTTGCATAGTGGGCCAAGTAGTGTGTTCTGGTTATTAGGTACAGCATACATACTGTGAATGTATGTGTATATATATATATATTACCAATTTATATATTACAATTTAGTAGTGAGGTCACAGCATTAAGCTTATAACGGTAATGGAGTACTATACAGTAATTGGTGCATTTATCAAAAAATAACAAAACCTTGATAAATCTTACAATAAACAGAGGGAATTTTAGTTTGCGAATATACAGTCAGCCACGTACTATCCGAACCTTTCGGGACTTGTCACTGAATAGGTAACATGTTGTGTTTGAAAAAGTGGTTAGTTGTCCTGAAAAGCTAGGGGAAAAAAATGAAAATTTTGTTGCTGAAATTCAAGTGTTTTGTTTGTACTCGCCAATATATGTTCTGATACGCTTGTTAGCAATGTTCCATCATTTATAATCTTGAAGGTATTTAGATAGAAAAGGTGGCGGTGGATGATAATAGTGTTGGATTGACTGAAGTGGAGGTGGTGATGAGATAACCTCAGCAGACTGCCTTTCACCATGTACTCTAATGTACCTAATGCCATGACAGAGTTGAAAGCTTCTGAGCCATCCATTAGTGTATGAATACTGCTCAAGTGGCACTGTGTGCGGTTACTGGGCAAACTTGTTCCATCTTTATTGAGCATTTTTATTCAGACTGCCTGCCCCCCATTAGTTATCCTAACTTTTTTATCCGAACAAACCCTAATCAGATAACAGGCGTTGGTACAGCACGTGGCTGACTCAATACTGAACATTCAAACTTCTTTACAATCCACTGATGGTTACATATTGTACAGTATTTTTCTTAGCTTTCATTAATATTTTTGGAGGGGAGGAAGCTTGCAAAACAAAGATATACAGGCTTAATTATATTTACCATGCACCTCAGACAATAATCTCCTACTGTTATACACCTATCATAAAAATGATCTTTATACACTGCCATACAAAACTGTCCTGAGCCAACAAGAAGACTTGAATTTAGTCCTTAAAAAATTAGTTTAGCATTTGGTTAAATGGGTTACAGTTGTGACATACTTAACAGGGATCACTGTAGCAGGTCTGCAAGAATTATGCAGCTTAGCAATCTTTACAAATAATTACCTGTTATTTCATGGACTTTGTAATGCAGATATACGGTAATTAGACTACACCACTACTGCCTTTGCATGTCATTTTAGAAGTTAATGTCATTTACACAAACCTGTACATTACCTATACAGATTCAACACCAAGTATATCAAAGGGCTTCAAGTGGAGATGGCCATATGTAAATTGGTTTCAACAGTACAGTACACACACTGTGCCACTATGGCAATTCAAAACTATGATATGCAAAATTTGTTTGTACTGCTGTTGAGCCAGTTTCAAATCTGCAAAGCACAAGGTATAACTTTTGCTTGTTCCCACTTGGAAGTCACATACAATTGTCATGATTGAGAATAGTATCATACAGTATTGTTAATCTGATATTTTCCCATAATCCTGGTCATGCTGTCATATTTGGTGCTATATTATTGTATAAATCATCTCTTTGGTAATTTATAACCCCCAATAAAAATGTCAATATCATACTTATTAGCATGCAGTAAAGTTTCTCTGGATCCACCTCTTTGAGGAATAACTAAGGCAAACACAGCACTCGAGTCTCAGCCACACATGATAATGTGCCCATATAATTTTATAAACCATCATTTGCATATATTTACCAAGAAAACAGTAATGTGGATTAAAATAAAATAAAAAAATAAACTTTTTCAGCTTTCCGTAATCAGAGAGAAGTACAGTACTCGATACATTAGCACTTAATGTAGTATCTTTGTGATCGGAATCACGTTAGGTCACTTCAAAACTCATTGCAGTGTTTTCTCAACATAGGTCTTATGTTTACCACTACGTAATAAAGTATGTGTTGTCTAGTACATACTAGACTCGTGACCTGCCAGAATATAGAGGTTCACTCCCTGATTGGCCTCTGCCATAGTTCCACTGTCACACTCTAGCATTGATGACGGCCGGCTTTCCAAGGTGATAATTCTGTAATGAACAACATCACTGTGTACATTAATCACATTATATCAAGCTAATTTATACTTAATATTTTTTAATGTTGATAATATCAAATACTGTAATTACAATTAACTTACATAATTCAGAGCAATTACTGTAATTGATAACACCAAATAACTGATATTCAGATCACTGTATATGGCATCATACTTTGTTAGCATTATAAATTTCATGAATTGTCTTTCTGCTAACATCCTCATAATAAGTAAATCAAATACTTTATTAAATTACATTTACTAATGTGCATTGACAATTTAAAAATAGAAAAATAATTACAAGCATATTCACTGGTTCATAATTATAATGGTAAAAAGGGAGACTGCAGGTGTGAGAATAACAAGACATGCACGAACACATGTTAAGAGCTCATCATGCAGGTTCAGCCTCAGGATCTACCACCCCTCAGTCATATTTGTAAATAAGCTCATTCGTTTATCATAAACAAAGTTTTTTAAACTACATCCATTAGCTTAATTCCTAAAAACTCCCTCATTATTCAATAAGCCTGAAAAACAATAGATATTCTTTTATCGGATCATATTAAAATCCTTAAATTCTCATAATAACTTCTTGTATTCATTCAGTCAACTGAACTCCATGCCAAAACTTAAAGACATGAATAAAACATGCTAACAACAGTGAAAAAGTTATAATTAAAATATACCGACACATGACTATCCAATATTAAACTCCGCACAAGGGGCTTACAGATAGATGCTCAGAAGCCTTAGAATCAGATCTTGGGAGTTTCAGTAACTATTCTCATGTCCTGCAAGTACATAGAGGTTGACGCCTTGTTCGCTATCCCGCACTTCCGTGTTTCTGCTTGACACTATGACAACGCTGAGGTGTGACGGTGATGTTCCATAGGAGGCCAGCCAATGGGAGGGTTTGTTAGCAAAGCAGCATAGCAATTAGCAAAATATATTTAAGTTAGCATATAAAGCCAGGCCCATTAGGCAATGTTAGAGGACACCACATTTGCTCTTATGAGAGACACCTAGAAAATGAGCTTCAAAACCTGTATATTAAAACAACCCAACATGTTTCTAATGACCATGCACAGCATAGTGCACATTAATAGAGAGCTTCATTTCCAAAATGTGCTAGATTGTAACGATATAAAATTAGAGCTTTAAAATACAAAAAAAGATTAAATTGAAACATTCAAAATACAGAAAAGGTACCACAATTTTCAACATGGGGGGAAAACTAAAAACCAGCTACGGGTCATAAACACACTCCAAATCATATTTTTTCAAATTTTTTACTACTCTTTTTGCCATTACAGTAATAGTAAGTATTAAAAAACCAGCGATGAATATAATGAAATGCCAGTTTCTGGGTGAGCCCCAGTGACTTCCTGAAGCTACTATATGCTGCTATGGAACCATCTATTTGGTTGCATCAGGAGAGGAGTTTTATAGGCCTACCAGGGACCAGTGACTGATGCAAATTTTTAGTATGAAGCAATATCAGGATGATAGTTTCAGGGAGCCACCAGGGGGCTCCTTCCAGAATAAACAAAAGTACAAAGAAGCAATGGGAGAGTACGAAAATGAACTCCCCCCTCCCCCCTCTCCTTCCCCCAGAAGCAACTGACTTTCATCAGAAGGAACGAAGGACCATGAGGGGTCAAAAGGATCCTTATCTGACTGGCCCTTCCACCCTAACCCCGTCACCCTGTCAAAAAGGCGCCAGGATAGAACTGAGGTTCTCGCCCAATGGCTAGGAAAGAAAGACAGACTCCAAAGTAGAAAGATTGGAGTAAGAAGGCAGTTGGAAAGAAGGCTCTTAAACACCAACGGATCAGATGGCTCAACTGTCTCCCCGCCAGTAGGAAGAAGCTATCCCCCATAACCCGGAGAAGGCTCAGCCACACCTTGCCCAGATTCCCAAACTCTCAGACTTTACAGTGACAGAAGTAGGAGCAGGCAGAAGCCAGGTGCATCACACCTGAAGAGGTAGGAAGAGGAGGCACGAATGGAACCAAGGTGGAATTTAACAATGCCTCCAATTCCTGGTCCCCGAACATCAAATGGACTAACTCCAGAGAATTTAAATGGGCACAAAGCCACAAATGCTGAATGCTTTACAAAATGAAACTGAAAAGCACCAGCTGCCCGATAAGCTTCCTCTTCAGAGGCAGGGTTAGAAAAGTCATATGCTGGGAACAAGTGCTGCAGGACTCAGGACTGTCTGTGTCATTGACTCAATAGATAGCATGGCAGAAAGAAAAAAGGCAGCATTAAATGTAATGAAATGCCAATTTCTGGGTGAGCCCTGGAGGCTCACTGCTTGAAGCTATCAAACTGATTCGGTGTCACACTACTAGGTGCCATCAGTCATCGAGTTCTATTGGTCTGCCATGGACCACGAGCCAGAACCTGGCCCTTTCAGAGAGGTGCAGGGAGCAATTGCCAACAAACACTTTACATTTAGAGTTAATCATAATTACCACAACAGGAAAGGCACCCAGAAAGATAGAACAAACAAAATACTGCATGGTTAAAATGAGACTGCAGCCCCAAAACTGCCAAAAGAATTCCCCCAATGAAAACAAACCACCTTTTCCCCTTGTTTGGAGAGAGGGAGGTGGGAGGTAGTCTGGGTTAGCAGGGCTGCTCCAACTTCAATTCTGTGATGATGATGATGAAAAACACCGACACCCTGGAAAAAGTCTGGTAGTCTCCAGGGCTCACACAGAAATTGGTGTTTCATTATGTTCAATGCTGGTTTTCTGGGGAAGAGGGGAAAGTCCTGTTGGCTCCCTAAAGCTAACTATCCACAGAGAATGACAAGAAAGGGAACTTACTAGGGAGGAGGTAGCACAGCAAATATCAATTCGAGGACAAGACCGTCGGCCATGAAACATGACCCGAAGCTATAGAAGGCTGCTGAGGCCCAGAATCGTTCACAAGATACTTGGCAGCTAAGACCCTGTTTGAACCTCCAAAACCCGCACGCCCCCATATTGGCCCAAGACATACAGTAGTAGCAAACACTCCCGTCAGAGTGGCATACTTCCGAACATCATGAGCATTAGGGGTAGACTGCAGATTGGCTAGACTTAATGACATTGGACTACCTGACAAAGATGAGCCCTTGAAACAAGGAACAAAGAAAATTGGATCAACCCACAATGAGTCCACTGAATCAGAACCAGTGGAATGAGGATAGCACCGTAAAGCTGTCACTAGCCAAAGCGCACAATGCACACCCGGCCAAACCAACCATCCATAACCAAAATACCCTTTTGGAAGCCCGCTGACTTATTCTTCAGCGGAAAAGGAGCCGGCTGCAACAAAACAAAATGCCTACCAGGGCCAAGGAACAAAACCCTAGGTGCCGGAGAAGAGCATGAAGATCACCTACCTGATAACAGGAGGTCAGGGAAAGCAAAACATGGCCTCTTAAAAAATAAACATAGACTGAAGGGGCCCCCTACTTAAAATGAGCTGAAGAGAAAAAAAAAAAGAGAGAACCTGGACCAGAGACCAGGCAGGCTCAAGTGGCACATGATCAGGCCGGAGGCGAGGTGAAACAATGCATGAGAAAGCTTACGAAACACGGCTAAAGACGTGACAGTATTCGGCATGAGATACCAATCTAGAAACGGCCAAGAAAGAACAAAACAACCCACTCGGAAACTGATGAGGATTGAGGAAGGGATAGAAAAATGCAAAAAGACTGCCAAGAGACCTTGTACTGTCACTGATACGATAACGCAGGTGGAACGCCCTTAAACCACCCACCTGATCATCAAACAAATGAGGATAAATACGGGTTATAAATTCCAGATGCGGAGAGCAGAAGAAAAGGCTGAAGCTGCAAGTATGTCACTCGTTCGACCTCCTTAAAGAGGCGGAGCTGCGGAAAATGCCCGGATTTAATTGTTTTCCTCTGTGTATGTACCTGCAGTTGTAATTAAAGATCTAATACTTGGAGGTTTTTCATTTTGCATGTGGAAAAAATATTTTGTATTTTTCTTTATTTCTTGTAGAGCTTTCTGTTCCAATTCCATTACCTCAGACTCGTATGATTGCTTCAACGTCTGCTCTATTTCTTTGATCTCCCTGTTTAGATGTACTGTACTGTGTTTTCCTTTCTTATGATAGTCGTGTCTGTTTAAGCATTTCTGTGATTTTTTCCTTCTCCTGTGCAGTCATCTGTGTTCTCTTTCTAAAGTAGTCCTCTTTCTGACCCTTCTCACAGGCATATGCTTCAAGCAGATCTTGAATGCTTCAGCTGTCAGTTGAGCTATTTTCTGTGTGGGAGTTTTGTCGCTTAAGACAGTCTCCCATTGAATGTTTGCAAGATCCATATTTATTTTCCCCCCAGTCGATCCTCTTATTGTTGAAATTGAAATGATTGAATAACCTTTCTCGATTGTTGGTTTTCTTGGACCTACTAACGTTATTAATGTTAGTTTGCACTCCAATGAGCCTGTGGTCTGAATATGTAATATCTGAGATAGTAATGTCTTTGATTGTGGTCCATGTACAACCACATTCTCATCTATGGACCCCCACAATCACATTCCCACTTTTGAACGCCCGTTACAACCATGTTTCCACTTGTGGATCCACTTCAACCTCATTTTCACCTGTGGATCCCCCTACAACCACATTCTCACCTGTGGGCCCCCCTACAACTGCTTTCTCACCCCTAGATGCCATACAACCCATTCTCACCCATGGACCCAACCAGAACTAGAGGAAGGTGGGGAACCAGAAGCAGGGCACACCAGCAAGGGAAGAAAGAAGTGTGGACTTAGTCTGGTTGGAGTTCACCAACTCCTCCAATCACAGGTCCCTAAACACCACAGGGGTCACCTCTGGGCATCCAACTGAGCACCATGCCATGAACCCCAAATATGGAAACCTTGGTGTATGGTTTGGTCATCATAGAAACCTTGCCTGTAAAGCAGTAGCTGCCTGTTAAGCTTTAAAATGAGAAACAGGCTC